GGATTACTGTTATTATATATATATACAACCGCATACTGTTTCTTTTCAGAATCCTACGCTATGGATTTACTTTTTATTTTGTTCAAACAGACAATATTCCATGGAAACTGATTTTCTTCCCAATATTAATAGAAAATTCAAATATTGGTATTAAATGAAATTTTATTAAAATTTAAAGAAATTTCTTCTAGAACCAAAAACATAATAGTTTCTGTACATCTCACGTACCTTATTACTATTGCTGATTTGTATGTTTGGAACCGATTTTTCAAGAACATTTTGTTTTATTAATGATATTAAATGATACTGACAATGTTTATAGAATTAAATATGCTCAATATATATTTCAAATTAAGCTTTATTTTTAATTTTATATGTATTTTAGTTTAATTTGTTTACAGTTTCACAAAGTTTCTTAATATTTTAATTTATTTGCTATAAAAGTTCATTACATTCAAAATTTTGATAATTGTTTTATTTAGTCATTCATATTTGATATGTGTTGCTGACAATGTACTAAACTTGTGAAGTTGTGAAAATATTACAAAATCTTAATTTTATCACAATGTGAGTTAATTATAAAAGTTTAATTCTAGAACACACACCTTGTTTAGTCATAAACTATGAGTCATGATATCAATCAAAATAGTTATTTAACGGAATAACCTCAAATTTTATTTACGCCATCTCAAGTTAATTCTAAGTACTTTTCAATTGCATTATGTTAGAAATAAATAAGATGTATTTTTGATTAACTATACAAGCTGTTAAGAATATATTAATTTTCTTAAGCGTTGTCGAGAATTTAATCATATTTTTAGATAAAACTCTAATTTATCATTGATTCCTAATATGTATATGTATCGCTTGTCTCTGTTCAGTATTAAATACTTACATATACACTCAATAGATGGTGCATTTAATAATCATTATACTATTATACTTAGTGAAAATCAGAGAGTCGAAGCGAAATTAATTTCGTTCCGGTTTACGATTACGTTCCAAGTAAATGTTTAGTCTTATTTACAAAGTTCCTTTACTATTGTTTTCAATTATAAAATTGAAAATACAAAAGAAATAAAAATTAATTAGTGACTAGTTCAACACATTCACTTTGTAATGTTTTTTCAGTCAAGTTTCCAGTAATAATCACTTTAATTTGAGTTTGTTCTAATGTTAGTTGCGCAAGACTTATTGCTCTTTCTTCTTCAAATTTTCTCTTTTTAGTCGGTGGTTGATTGGTGGTGATTTAGGCTCTATTTTGTTTATTATTATTTGTTTATTTGAAAAAAGAAGTCCGAGTATACAAATACACTTCGTGGATGTCTCTTATACATTGTTTGTTTAATGCTCTATTCACAATAGACCGACCAACACAATGTTGTAATTTATATCTTAGTACAAATTTCATATAATCAATGCATTTGTTCACTAAATAAATTTCAATCAAATTACAAATGAATAATTTAAAATATTCTTAATTATAAATTATGATTAATTATGTATACATAGATTTAATTATACAAAACCTTATTTCGTTTTAATTTTTCACTAAAATTATTAAAGTCAATCTTTTCCTGGACACTTTTTTCTATAGACCGACGAACACAATGTCGATTTTTTTTTTCTAATGACTATATAAATAAACCAAAATACTAGCACCGGCACAACCATCAAAGAGCTGTTACAGTTACGTTTCAGTTAAAAATCCCGGTTAATTTCGGTTCGGTTCCGGTTCGACTCTCCGGTGAAAATAGATAATAATCATTAAGAGATAAGACGATTCAAGTTCAAATTATTTCTAAAATATTTATGCGTTTGTTAATATATTATGCACTCATCAAAGACAATATTTAATGATAATATTTTCATGTCATCTCTGCTAGTGGATAAACGTAACAAATCGTCATATTACATTAGTTTACAACTTTATTTTGGCATTTATGAATAAATTTGTCTGAACTACAGAGAGTAGTTCAAAATCTCATGCATTGTGGTATTGATAAGTGGCAGAAATACTGCCTGATTATAATATCATTTTTTACAAAACGCCATCTATCTAATTTTTTATATGAATTTTGACATTTAAAAAAAAATAGTCTGTGACAAAAATTCTATTTCAATTGTAGATAGACATTCACAAGGAATGTTAGTAAATAGAAATTATTATATTTATTAATAAATATGAGTGAAATGACCTAGATGTAATAATTATATATTGTACAATTGGCAACAATGCGAAATAGTTTGATACAAAGTATGGTTGGCGCGTCGGTTAATTAATAAAATCAACGCTTGTCAATTGTCAGGTAAAGTGAGGAGGAAGTTGCGTTGCATTGCGTTGCGTTTCTAGACACGCGGCCGCTGCGATTTGCATACGAGTCGAAAACAATTTAATTAAAACGACGTTCATCCATAAATAATTTAGGTTTCAATTAGACCAAGCGAATCGAAGGCATTCAATATCTCCCTTGCCCACGTAATCCGACTTCAATTAAAATTTAATTAATATTCCCCATTAATGGGTTTTGCGAAATTTTTTTTTGCGACTTACTGCACGAGCTTACATTTTTGTTTGTCGTTTATTTTCGCGGAAAGTCTAAATTACTCTGGGGGGAGAATGTGCGCATTCCGAGGCCGAAGTAGATTTCCAAGTCGGAAGGAAAGGTGGATCAAGTCGTAGCTTATCCCAGAATGGAAACCATCCATCCGTCCCATGGGATACAATTTTTATCCGGATTTCTGGCCCTGTCATCGCGCAAAACACTATTTTAGTGTTTTATGAATTATTTATGATTGCTCATAAAATATGTAAGGCTTCTTCTCACTCTCTTTCCCTTACCCACTCTTTTCTTTTCTACTTCTTTATTTCTCAACATCCCTTCGTTCTACACAAACAGAAAGAAAAGATTTCCATCTCATCCCCCATTCGCAAATCCATTAACTATTAACTTTCAACTTCGGAAGGACTTTTATTGCACTTACTTTCGAACAATCTGAAATCGGTTAGTCTCCGATTCCATCGGTTTCACCCTCCCAGCTCGATTACACACCTTCACCACTTTCTAGGCCAAGGATTACAAATTATCTTTTTATTACTCAAATTCAAATCAATTTCGTTCTTTTCTTCTCTCTTTCAAGCAATACTTGTTGAATACATTTGAATTTTGAATGGAAATATGAATGTTTAATGTTTATTAAACGTACAGTTTTAATATTATCGAATAAAATTTAAATGTAAATTATATCTCAGTACAAATTTCATATAATCAATGCATTTGCTCACTAAATAAATTTCAATCAAATTACAAATGAATAATTTAAAATGTTCTGTACTTAATTAGAAATTATGATTAATTATGTATACGTAGCTTTAACTATACAAAACCTTATTTTGTTTTAATTTTTCACTAAAATTATTAAAGTCAATCTTTTCCTGGACACTTTTTTCTATTTATCATTTACAAATTCTTGAAAATTGTATTAACTAAATAATTAAAATTACTTGAATTTCATTCAACTATTTTAGTTCCAATTTGTGAACTGATCAAATTATCTATTATTTAGTAAATATAATTGTTAAATAGTAAGTTTCTATGGTTACATGGTCGCATATAAATAAATATATTAAATACATAAAGATGATAGACTTAATACAGGACACTTGTTATTAAATATATTTAGATTAATTATAGAACTTCTTTAAGTTTCCATTTACATTATGTTGGATTTATTGATTAATGAGGAAAATTTAGAAAAAAAAACCGATTTTCTTCAGGAAGTTTAGAATAAATTCCTGAAATATCCTGCAATCTATACATCGGCAACCTTTTTGGAGCAAAGAGCCATCTGTCTGTTAAAAAATAGTTTAGGGAGCCGCATTTCAATTGTTTCCACTATTGTGACTATAGTCAACACAGTTGGGATCCGCATTTTCTCATCCCTGCAAAATAGATTTTGATTAACCTATTATGTGTTTTATATCAAATAATGTCCTTCATTTTATTTATTATCTAAATATATTTCATATTGTTGTATTCCTTTTATATTTTTCAATCTATTTGATTTTTCTTTACGTATAATTATTAATTACTAATTTATACAATCTTTTCTCTTATTATCATTTACTAACTATATTTAAACTACGATAAAATTAAACTAAACTTTCATCCATAAATAGATAAAAATATCCAAAAATGTTGGAATTTAGTCCTCAACTGTCCTGTTTATATTTAGACTTATGTTTAGACCTTAAATATAAAACGAAAATCAGAATATTTTAATAATAAATGCGTGTTAATAACTTAATACGTAAATTTCAAGATCAAACATGCCATAAATTTTCCTAACCACAAATAGGATTACAAAAATTCTTTATCGACTTAATCCTATATGGATATATAAAAAAAAATTAGAGTCAGCGGCTATAGAAACTGAAAGGTATTTAGTGCGTGACACCTCTATTTTGAGGCAACCGCTAAATTTAGTTTTCAATTGGACAGGAAATGTGCGTGCGGTGCAACTCGATGGATGGATGATGATATTGGATTTGTAATAAATAGTCGGAAGGAGACAAAGTGTGATAGGTTGTCATGGTAATACTAGATGACGGATGCATAGTCTTGACGTTTTCGGTGGGGTTGATTGGACGTTAATTTGATGGAGGCGTGGGCGTTTAGATCGGAAATAAATGTTGGAATTGGGGACAGGTGATGAGGAGGAGGTTGCTTGGACACGTTTCGTATAGGAAAGAGGACACACACATAGCGAGAGTGCACGGATGAAACAATAAAAGCGGTCAATACATCTGCCGTCTGAGATATATTTAAGTCTGCACGCAAATAGACCGACTGTACCATCTCGTTTTAGACTCTCTCACTCTGTCTTATTATGTAGCGTACACGCATACACACATGCACGCACGGTACACAATAAAATGCTTACATGTATGTATACGCATACACACGAACACACATATAAGTATATACAGACACGGCAAGTTCAAAAGCAAGGTTAGATTGTGTTAGGTTATGCACGCGCTCCTCATTTTCTTCTTCTTTCATCTCGGCCACCGCCGCGCGCCACGACGTTTTACGGCCCTTTTGAACCTTTTTCTTTTGTGCTTTTATTTTTTTTACCAAGCGCGCTCTCGTTTCTTTGACTTTTCTTTTCTTATTATTATTACCTTCGGACCACAACTTGCCATTATCAATTATTCAGTCCGTTTCGCGCCGTACAATCTGGACTCGTCCGTACTCCCACGATCCTCCACATGGTACTACATCTGCTTATGCCCTTAGGTACATTACCGTATCCAAAGTGCTAATATACCTGTAACAATTCATAGCTTTAGGCTTCACATTAATTTATAGACTTATTACTGCAACATTTATTACATTATTAAAGACATAATTTTTATATCAATTCAAATTATATTGATTATTAATATTTATATAATATTGGTCATTAGACACTACACTATGAAATCAAGAAAATGGCAGATTTATTAATATGTCTCGCATAGTCCGGGCAATTGTTTTTGCTGATATGTTGCACTATTTGAAACCGGACTAATCGAGGAACTAAATACATACAAAAAGATACTTGACCGTTTAAAGAACAATCATGATTAATGTAATAAAACAATATTCTTTATTTATTTTGAAATATTCGAACTGGATTATAGTGAAACCGGACTAATTGAACTTTGTCTATGTTAGATATTGCTATATTTATAACATTTTTAACCTGAAAAATGTTTATTCTAATAAAAAAATAGGTTAAAACAGTAGACATAAGCAAACAAATTATTCATAAGTAAAATGTTTTAAAAGTCTAATAATAATTATTATACATACGTTGAGAAACACCGGGTTGTGGAGAAAAACGTTCATCATTCGGTGAAATAGGTTCCGCGGTGATCGTTAATCATCGTAGACGCGGTTAATGAGTAATTAATAAAATTTAAGGAGTTATTTAGCGAGATGTGCGGTCGTTAAAATCTTTGAAAACATTCATAAATAACGTGGCTTTATAAATTTTTAAGTAGATGAAACGGTGAAAAAAATATATGTAAACGGTAACGAAAGGAGAGAGAAGAACAGTAACGGCAGAAACGCGTCGGAATGCCAGGGGAATAAATATCCTAGGAATGGTAGAGAAATACGATCCATACCGAAAACAAATTTGAAATCAAAAAATGCATCCAATTAAAAAATAAATAAACTACGGAGACGAAGCATCTGCGGTCCACACACACCACACAATTTCACCTCTCATTTAAACTTGGTAATATTAAATTACTTTGAAGGATTCTTAACATTGTTAACATTTTATTTGTAACCATAAATAGAAAAATATTACACATTTTTTTTAATTAGAAAAAAAGATGTATTAGTTGATTTATATGATCATTAATGTAAATAAGAAAAATATAGATATTAATAGAAAAATTTCGAAATGTTGAATAAGTGTTTTTATTACAGGCTTTAAATATATCAAATTTTCAGTAAACACTTAATTATATATAGTAAATCAAAAGGAAAATTAAAGTTTCAACACTTTATAGCAATATGAACCAATATAAGGAACTAAATAAATTACACAAAAAGTGACATGATTATATAAAGGAAAAAAATCATTAATGCAAATAAATGCAAATAATTTAGTGTACTTATTTATTAGAATTTATTTTGATAAATACACTATTTTAGAATTCACACCGACCGAAGCCGCAGTATGTGAGGTATTGTTGTATATCGATCCGCACTGTTCGAGATATTGGTAAACAAATTTCATGAAAAATCTTTAAAAATTAATATTTTCATGTTTTTAAGACAAATTTTCTATAATATTTTTCTATTTTATATATATTTCCAAATATTTTAACTTTAAGTATTCAAGATATGATAATTTGATGAAAAAAATGCAAAATACTCAACAAAAAATACATTTTTTTTTTATAATATTAACGAATTTTATCCAATATTACGAGAATTATTAATAATGACAACAGAAATGAACGTTAATTAGCGATAAAAAAAAGATTTTTTATGCAGTTTCTTATAATGTAGTTAACAACATAAAACGCTAGTTGGCGCCAAAACATGTACTTAAAGTTAGTTTAGAAATATTAAACAACGTATATTTTCGGTATAATTCGGAATTTTGGATAATTTGGTAGAATTTGTGTTAAATTTTTATGTAAAAGGAATCTAACGAGGTTGAGAAATATAATTTTTACCATTAAATTATATATTTTTCTTTTCTCTAGTAATTACATTTTTAATTAGAATCAACAGAAAATATTTATATTGGTTCATTCAATTTACTGAACTTTTTTAAATGAATATTAAAGAAATGTATTCATCATTACAGAAGGAATCTTATGGGTTAAGAAATACAATACAATTATATCCATTATTACACAAATTAATTATGATAATAACAGTTATGAATGTTAATTAGTGATAAATTTGATTTTTATGCGCGTTTTTAAAATGTAGTTAATGATATCAAACGCTAGATGGCGCCAACACATGTACGTAATGCTACCTTAGGAAAGTTATGGAATGTGTATGATTTGGATTGGTAAAAGAGGAATTTTTTTTTTTCATATAGTCCTATATAATTATGGTTAATTTTTATTCAAAAAGAATGTTATGAGGTTAAGAAATACAATTTTTACCATTAAATTATATATTTTTTCTTTTCTTTTATAATTACATTCTTAATTAGAATCAACAGAAAATATTTGGATTATTTCATTCAACTTGATACATTTTCTTTGCTGAAATTCTGAGAGGAAACCATGAATCAGATTCATTGTGCGAAAAACGCTTTTCGAATGGAATTTAAACAGTTTTTCATCATCATCATCTCGCGTTTCGCCTCCCCGGGAAAATGGTCCAATTAACGTAGACGGGGAATAAATTAAAAGGGATTCGGGATTTGCGTAAATTATTATTCTTTTTATCATTTCCACTTTATTATATGAAGGTCCCACTTCGTCGTCTTTGTGCGTTGAAAAGGACGAAGGAGAGTTCGGAATGGCTGCTACGATTTTAGATGGTAGATAGATACGCTCGGTAATTTGTCGTTCTACCAGGGCCGTTTCTATTGTTAAGTGTTCTTTGAATAATAGTAATGATGAGGTCTTAAAGGATTTCTCTATGCGAGGCTAATAACTGAGCCTCCAAATGGAAATGCCTCTCTATTTTTTTCTTTCTTTTTTTATTATTATTATTATCATTATTATGCGCCATTACGGAGAGCGCGGCTTTAAAATACGAGTGTAAATCTTTACGCCGAACAAATTACAGTCTCTCGAAGCCCTTGCCACCTGTACGCACCTGAAAAAAAGAAAGAAATGTACACGTGAAGAAACAAAAAAAAAAGTACAAAGCTGAAACGGATAATGGTTTCTCTGCTTTATTGCCGGCGCGATCATTATTACAGCACTGCCAACATTTACCATCTTTAATGTCAAAATGTGATGAGCTGCGCGAAATGCAGAAGCACATTTTAAATATACAATAAAATTTATTTATACCTGCAGAGAATAAAAAGGTATACCTGTTCCTGTCCTTTATTTGTTTCATCATTTCTGTTTACGTTTCTTCGGCTATAATTGCATTTCGCATCTCTATTTTCTGAGTGCAATATTATTTTTTTGATTACTTTAATAAAAGATAGAAGCAGGAAATAGCAATAAAAAGAAGACAAGAATATAGATAATTGTATGAATTAATATACTCGTATGCAATTAATTAAGTTCAATTTCCGGCGGATGTTTTGCATGAAGTTCCTTATTGGATTGGTTCATGAAAAACAACTTTTGTCTCAACCAATCGCAGCGAAGAACTTTCCTTAACTGGGGCTTTGTGATTGGTCGAAATAAGAGATGTCACATAATTGAATGAAAGAAGATTTAATACAAACAAATTAAATTTAGATTAGTTAATAAATGTAAACGTAATGTGAAATATTAAAATATTTCAATATTAGTTGAGTGCTTGTAATTAGATGACAGCACTGCAGTTTCTTCACATCAGAAAGAAAATTCATATTTGCATCATGGTTTTAACGTAAATATAAATTAAAAATCAATGTCATTATAAAATAATTAGATTCAATTTTAGTGATAAATAAATTATGAAATTGAATTGAAATTGTAATTAAAAACGCTTTTAAATCAAAATTTTAATTGGTTCAAAAAAGACTTTCTTCAATGATATTTTACAATTTTCAAATTCATTTTAAGTAAAAAAAATAAAGAAATCATGAAAATTTCTTATATTTTCTGCAAATTTTAATTGCTTCAATAATACAAAAGAAATGTGTTATGTAATATTATTGGAGGTTTCATTTATTTCAATATTAGTTGAATGCACGTATTTAGATGGCAGCAACGTAGTTACTTCAATTAATGAGAAATATTCATTTTTGTATCATGTTTTTAACATTTTTTTTATAGTAATTTGCATAAAAATGTTGCAAATTACTGTACAATGTAAATGAAAGAAAATCAATGTTATTTCAAGTAAAAAATAAATTTTGAAATTTTATGCAAATAATTAAAACTACTTAAAATCTAAATTTTGATTGGTTAAATCATAGTAAATACATTTGTTATGCAATATTCATTTATTTCAATATTAGTTGAATGCTTGCAATTAGATGGCAGCACTATAAATATAAATATTTATACCATGATTCCATGTTAATTTTGTAGTAATTTCTAAAGTAAAAGATAGAAAATAAATCTTATTAATATATAAATTCATTAAAATCTATATTTTGATTAGTTAATATGTAAATGTGTAATTTCACGTCATATTACACGTTTAATTTATTTTAATCAGTTGAATTCTTATATTAAGGTGGCAGCACTATAGTTTCTTCAATCCATGAAAAAAATGCATATTTGTACTATGATTTCAAGTTTCCAAAGTTTTCATAAAATATGCAATGAAAAAACTATAGAAAATCAATGTTATTTTACTATGAATACATAGATTTTATATTAATTGATTAATATAAATATGATGATTATAATAATGACAATAATGATAAAAGATGGTCAACGACCTCATTAACACGTACAAAGTGAATGCCAAAGTTCATGGGGATGTGTTAAAGTCAACATCTGGACATAGTGTCAACGACTTCTCAAACAAGTTCACAAATGAAGAACGTCAACACTATTTGACTGTACTCTCTTTCATTCGAATCGTTGCTGCTGCTGCGTACAGAAAATCCGAAGATAAATACAGCTGAAATTGATGAAACCCCGTACACAGTTTGAAGATAAACGGTCCATCAACAAACAAATAAATAAACAAACAAGTAAACCAAAGAAAAAATCGTCTGGTTTTGGTCATGCGAGTGTTTTATTGGTAGCTCAAATCGAATCTCGCGATCTTAACAATTGTAAGCATATGTATTTCTATATTTGTGTGGCAATCGGTTCCAAATATGGAACATTCACTTTTGCCTTTAACGGACGGCAGCAATTCGAGAATGTAGTCATTAATGGCCGATGCAGAAGAGAAGACACACACAGCATTCGCATACTTTTGTGTGCATTAATTTGCAAATAGCGCTCTGTGATGCAAACACAAATAATTCATTTACAATTCTAAAAGTGCAAAAGTTCAGTGTATGTCTAAGCACCTAACATATGTTTCAATTCTAATCAATTATAGGCTAAGTTTATGCTGAAATTGCAATATTACTCATTTATTTTTTTAACAAAATAAACAATGTATTGATTAGAAACGTTTGAAATAACATTTACAGTGTGTATTAAGTGCTGCCATCTGTATCTCAATTAACTACTAATCTTGGATTAAGAAACAAAATGTAACACAAAAAATACTATATTGTTTTATTATCAAAAAATAAAAAATATGGTACATTCATTTGTTTGTTTTTACCTTTTTTTTAATATGAAAAATTAGGTTATAATTCAAATTTGTAACTAAAAATCTTAATTTATTTTGAAAAAATAAAACAAAATAAAGTTTTCAATAAAATTCATTCATTTCAATATTATTTATTTAAACTAAACAATGCTATCAACAAATACAATTATGAGTATTTATTATAGTGCTGCCATCTACAAAATATGTTTTAACTAAACTTCAAAATTACTGAATTTAAACTATTTACAAGTTACAAAAGTTTCTCATAATCTAGTTCAACCTGGGATGTACTGATTCTGAGGAGTAAAGTTATTAAGAAATGAACTATTGGAAGGAAGGATAGAACCTCCAGGGTCGTATTTTACCTATAACAGAAAATAAATTATTTAGTTTATGAATTATATTTCATATAATGTAATAATTTTGTAAATAATATTTAAAGTCATGATACATAGTCCAATTTTTATGTTAATAAAAGTAATTTGTCTATAGAATATTAGATCGTGATTGGAGTAATTTTTCTAAAGTTTTTGATGTAAATTGGATTTTATAACTTTCTGAAGTTGAAATATCATGAAGAGGTAATGCGAGTTCATCTGGTTGAAACTTTCGTCAAAAGCAATTACATCCCTCGAGAATTCCAACAGTTATCGCCGAAAGAAAGAAAAAAAGATCATATTTATAAATATATTGTAGTAATGAAGATGGCTTAATTTCGGGGGTAATTTGGATGATCGCAGCGTGCGTGTGGTACTACTTGCGGCGCGCATCAAATGAAGAACGAAGAATGGAGAAGACAAAGAAGCAGTTGGATGGATGGAAAGATGAGAGGATGGATCGAGCTTTCGCAACCACGATTAATTCGATTACGTCTCTCGGCACTCTGTGATAACTGTAACCGCATTATCCGGGCCACGAGGATATGTATTATGTCGGTGATGGTGCAACTTCTTTCGCCGAAATAATTGAAAAGAACAAGTTGAAAGGAAGATGCAACAATGACCGTCTTGACCGTCTTTCGCTGTTGCGCAACCCCGAAATTATTTACACCAGAAATGAAGAGTAAAAACCGTCGAACGGATTTCCATTTTCGATGCATAATGAGGTTTGATTATGGTTTCGGCTGATGAACGGACGTGTAATCACCTGTCAATTGGGATTCGCGCACACAAAGCAAGGTTAACTTTTTTTTTAGTTGTCAACGGATAAATAAATCACGGATCACTATTTGTGTAAATGGTGTAGTTATATGAAAAAAAAAAGAGGAAGATGGAAAAGAAGGAACGGCAAACAAAGAGCGGAATTAAATTAAAGAAGCAGAGAGAGGAGTGAAGAGTAATTCCATACAATTTTGTGCCATTACCGGACGTTAAATGAGCTTTTAAATCGAATGCCATCTATTATCCACACACGCCCAACATTCAAATCTTCTGAATCTGTAGGGTAGTTGAACTCAATAGAATTTTAATTCTTTCATCTATTTATAGACGTATACAATATGAAAATTACATAAATATAATTTGAAGACTGTTACAATGATTCATATAGCTTTTTATTTATATATTTTTTTTTAATTATTTAATTAATTGTTACTAAATTTAATTGAAAATGTAATCATTATTATTAAATATTATCGATTATTTACAGCATGAATTTCCTTATTGGTTAGTTTATGAACAACTCTTGTCTCAACCAATCACAGCAGAGAACTTTGTTAAACTGCAGCTTCTTGATTGGTCCAATTAAGTCATATTATGTCATATAATTGAATTATTGCATATATTTAAAATATTTCAATATTAGTTGAATATTAGACAAAATCACTTTTTAAAATTACAGCAATACCTCGCAAAGTTATGTTTTTTTTTCAATATCTAGGATTGTTTGAAACTGGACTAGTTAAGAAACTAAATATATATAAAAGCAAACCGCACAAAAAGAGTCTTTACTATATAATGTGGAAAAAAACAATATTTTTTGTATACAATTAAAAATTAATTTATTTTGAAATTATCAAACCAGAAATATTTCGCAAAGTGCGGCTTCAATTAGTCCAGATTTACTAGACTAATTGAAGTCGCACTTTGCGAAATATTTCTGTACTTATAAATGGAACAATATAACAACAATAAAATTAATCTTCGATAATATAATTTATTTGGCTCTTGAATGATTCAGTTTCTAAAGAAAAACTTATACAAAGAAAAGCATGAATTTCCTTATTGGTTAGTTTTTAAACAACTCTTGTCTCAACCAATCACAGTGGAAAACTTTGTTAAATTGCAGCTTCTTGATTGGTCCAATTAAGTCATATTATATCATATAATTGAATTATTGCATATATTTAAAATATTTCAATATTAGTTGAATGCTTGTAAATATAATTTTAAAGTCTGTTACAATGAATCATATGGCTTTTATTTATATAATTTAATTTAAACCACAAATAAATATAAAAAAAATTACCGAATATTTACATTATATTTACATAAATTAGAGATTTGGTAATGTTTATGGTTTTTGGTTTTTTATTATACCGATGAAATCCAAATAGAATTAATAATTTGGTGTAATTACAATAAAGGCAATGAAAATTTTCTGTAATTTTAACAAATAATCACAATTTATTAAATCTATATAGAAAAAAAAGTAGAATTTATTTTTGAATTGCTTTTATTTATTTCCAGTAACACATAGATTGTATTATTCCTTTTGATCTTTCTGATTGCCGAAAATCCATCGAGAATTTCAAACGCCATAAAACGATTCGATCCTATTTCGAAAATCTCATTACACATTTTAAAGGAAACTGCTTTTATCGACGCACATGAAAATCCATTACGTTTCTCTCTTTCTCTATTTTCTCTGATTCGAATCTCTAAGCTTTTATTGTGTAAAGTGTATACGTTATTCCATTAATAAGCGCCGAAACTGAGCATTTCAAGTGACATCGCTTTGCTTTCATTAAATTTTATTACGCAACTGAGACGCGGACAAATCGTGGACACGAATAATTCACCTTGTCTTTTATTGCGTCCATCGTCATTCCAGCATCGATGCAGGCCAAAGATTAAACAATTTATGTGTTCCGACACCTTGTTTCAACTCGACATCATCAACAACAACAAACGAGACACCAAAAAAATGCGTGTTTCTAACAAGAGAAATTTTGAGAGTTTATTAACAAACTAAAAAAAAAGGGAGAAAACATTTAAATGGGAAGATGATTAAAATTAATGCCCTGAATGGGTCGCATCATTAGTTCGGGTGAGAGAACATTAGGGTTGGCAGAACAAAAAATTGGAACATTAGCGCAGTTGTTCTCTTTCGTGTTTTGATGTGTGTTTCCATATTATTATATGCTTTTTTTTTCTTGGGGTGTTTTCTTGTTTGACAAATGATGGTAGTGATTATATCTGTAGATTAAAGGAAGGGATCCTCTCTTTTGTAAATCTCTGCCCACGATCACCTCTCCGGCTCACACATATCACGCACCGAAAGAGAACAAATTGAATAGGACGGACATCGGAAACGGTAAAAACGATGTAAACATACGCATTTAAAAAGACGAGATACGTTTTCAGATAATTTCACACATAAATATCATGGTGAAAGAAAGTGAAATAATTCTTCCTTCTTTTTACTATGGAAAATAAACAACGCGACACTGAGGAATTTTTGACGCTTTTGTTTCGTTGCTCGTGGCGGGAAAAATAAATTACGGTCGTCCATGGGTGGTTTTAGTTCTTTTTTTTTGTTAAATGTTTTCAAATTCCACAGATTTCACGCCGAAATTATTTAAATTTTTCTTTAGATTATTATTATTATTATAGTTGGTGTTTTTTTTTAAGTTATTCAGAATTTCGTTATTGTTTTACAGAATTTTGCTGCGGGACACATTCCAGAGCACCACAGGCCGAGGGTATTTTTTCTGTTTTGTGTTTCATCGTCTTAATATTTTAAACTCGTTGATGTTGTCTGTGTTTTTTCTATGTTTTTTTTTGTTGTTGTGAGTTTGTGTGTGTAATTTCCTGTCTTATAATTAGAAAATGCACGCTTTGATAAGTGACTAATAGTGCCTTTACTGTATACAAAATTAATTAAAAATTTCAAATAATTTAAAAAATTGAAATTTTCTATTATATAACAATTATTGCAGGTAAAGTATTCAATTAGACATAATCACTTTTTAAAATTACAGCTATACCTCGCATAGTGCGGTTGATGTTTTTTTTTTTTAAATATAGGATTGTTTGAAACCGGACTAATTAAGTATATATATGGAAAAAAAAATCAAGTAAATCCGGACTAATCGAAGCTGCACTTTGCGAAATATTGCTGTACTTATAAATGGAACACTATAACAACAATAACATTAATCTTCGATAATATAATTTATTTGGCTCTTGATTGATTCAGTTTCCAAAGAAAAACTTCTACAAAAAAAAATCGGTTTTCGAACATAATTTGAACTATTGACTAGCGTAAAATGCGTACGTAAGTTAAAATATTTAAATTTAAATTTTTCAATATATTTGCAAGAAAACATATTTCTTCGTGTTAAGAAAAAAATAATTTAACTTTTGCAGCAACAGCTGATTCATCGTATAAATACGTCGTTTTTATAATCATCTAAGGCAATTTTTCAATAATCTCCTAATTTGTATTACATTCTTATCGAATAAGTAATTGCTTTATAGCTTTCACTGAAATTCTAAATGTTATCTAATCCATAAAAATTCAGTAAAAAGAACTGTAGGAAATATATCATTTTTATTCTAATTATTTACCAAATTTGTAGGTTGATTTTAGATCATTTATTGTTAATACAAAAATCTTTTTAGAATTAATTTTAGTTAATTTAGAGTAATGAAGATAATTTAAGAAACATTATTAATTAAAATTATTATGATAACAAGTTATACGCAAATATATGATCATGAACTGTGTACGAATAGTTTAGAACTCATTACTTGAGAAGAAGGACAATAATTGCCTTTTAATTTAATTTGATTATAAATTACTTAATTTAACTATTTTAATTATATTTTGTACATTTGATATTTATTTTAATTATTTAATAGTTTAGAACTTGTAAGAGTACAGAAATATTTATAATTTCATTGCTTGAATTCTATAACGATTTATATGTAATTGTTGCTGTACATAAAAAGCTAAAAGAAAATTTTACAAATTTGCATTTTTCAAATAAAAACTTATTTGTGTAATTTTTCGCTAATTATTTATACCAATTTCATAGATAAATTAAACTAAAACTTACTATTAGTAATTTTATAATAAAATGTACTAAAATTGCTTAATTTATAAGAATATTTAGTAAACGTACCAGATTTAAACTGAAAATGTATGTTTCTTACCTTTTGCTACTATTTCAATCAATTTTAATTACTACCTATTTCTTACTCTAAATATTGACATATTTAAAAATTAATTAAAAAGTCGTTTACTCGATGGTTTAATTATAATTAAAAAGGAATAAAAAAAACATATTAAAACGTTGAAATCTATTTTGTTTTTAATTACAAAATTTATTGGTCCTTTTGAAAAACGAAAGTATTAAATTTGTTCTTTATTGATAATTATGATCAATATTTCATCGATTAAAGAAAACTTTTCTCATAATTTTTTTTACAATATTTTTTTTAAACGTTATTATAAAAATAATATGAATTATAATAATTTAATGAAGGTAAATAGCAATTGTGCTTATTGGGAATTTTCTTTGTTATAAATTGTGAATTATGTCTCATATCACGAATAGTGTGTACGCAGCATTAGAAACTAAGAAATGCGAAATGCTTTTCATGAATACAATTATTTTCATTGAGTTAAAGCAAAATGAAATCGAAATTACTAAGAACTACCGATCTGCAGAAAGGCAATTAAGACGTTGACTATTTTAACAGGCCACACGTTCATGGTCCGTCGGTCGTTATTTGCATTTTCCAAGAAGTAGGCGGTATCTTTTAGCTCAATTTACGGATCAATTTGTTAGGCAAAAACGATCCCTGCAAAAACACATGTCATCGATCATTAATTGACGCGCCATCTCGTTCAGATGATACGTAAAACATTATGCATCATGACAGATCCGATGAATAACATGTGTCATCTGTCACATTGCTCTTAAAGAAACATATGTTTTTTCGATCACCGTTTTCTCCGTATTCCTGTCTTTGATTTTCAGCACTTTAACGACTTCAAAATGTTCGATGATGACTCGCTAATGGACAATTCAAAGTTTATTAAATCGAACGACGATAATTGATTCGCTCACAGCCGATATATCATAAAGTGCAGAGGGCAATTAAATTGTTCCCTCGAAACGAACGGATTTTATCGTTCCGGGAATATCGCATATATTCCCATATATTATTAACGCGAACCCTATCTAATATCAATTATATCTGTCGCAATTATCAAATCATTGACTCTCTCTTTCTCTCTCTCTCTCTCACTCACTCACTCTCAGTCATTCTATGACTTTTATTGCATTCCACGCAATTGAAACGCTTTTGTTTGCATTTGGTAACCACGTGTGCTGTTAAGGTAGCAATCAAAACCGAGTTATTGAAACAGCGAAAGCCATATCCTAATAAGAGAGAAATCCGCTTTTTGCTCCTTTCGCACAGTCGTTGGTGTCTGTATATAAATTTAAGTTCGGAGCGTTTCCTAAGTGAGAAATACAAGCTGGTCTTTATTCTTTGCTCATTACTGGCTGCATCATAAATCACAAACGCAAGCATCCATCACGCTGATTAAAAGCCAGAGCCGGGCTCGTGTCTTAACAATTAACCATTAATTTATGTTAGGTGTCGCTTCTTCTAAAAAAAACAAAAACAAAAATTTAACAGTCAAAGTTTGTACAGCGAAATCAATAAATCGACGCCATTTTTTTTATTACATTTTTTTTTCTAATTGATGGGCGTTTTTAATTAAACGCCAATTAATCATCAAATTTGACGCCACTCGATTATGAATGTTGTTTTTTTTTTCTTTCAACTTCTTGTCTATTTTGTTTGTTTCCTTCGGGTTGCGACGAGCACGTCGAGAATTTCGTTATTTACATAACAGAGAACAAGCGTTTTGTCGCGTCGGTTAAACAAACGGACGCGAAACAGTTGCAACACTCTCAAATTAACTGCGATTGGAAAATTAATTTGTTTCTTTTGTTTTTGTTTTGTTTGGTTTTTGGGCTAAAAGAAACAAAAGTTTAACTGAATGCGACTGTAAATTTGCTCATTACTCTCCTGTCGATTTTAGTCTTTAAATCAGAGGCTGCACTTGTAAATGAAACACATTCTAGTTAATTCTGTGTTTGAGTACACGCCATTCGCAAAGTTGAAAAGTAATTTGTAGAATCGAGTGTACTGCGTTCGGTCATTAAGTAAAAATACTAGTTTTTCTATTCAGAGAGAAACAATAAAAAAATATTTTAACAACTTTGTCAGTGAATTGCATGAAATCTATAAATACGACATGTATATAATTATGCTTGTTTTATTCTTTATAGCTTTGGCTTTAATATGGTTCTTCATTTATTTTTATGACGATTCTGGTTATTGAGAAACCAACAAAAATGTAATTAAAATTTAAATATAATTACAATATATTTAACAGAGAATTATGTAAAAACTGCAAATACCATAAAAATACAATTAAACTCTTTTTATTCTCTATAGTTTTGTCTTTAATTTGTGTATACGTTCGGCTTTATAACGTTTGTAGTTATCGAGAAATATGTAAATATGTGAAAACTTTTCCTAGATTCAAAATTTCATTTGTACTATATAAATTACATAAACATTTCTAATTCTATAAAAATACATATTATTTACTTACATATATTTAGCTGTAATTTACAAATTAACGTACCTATGATTAGCGAAAAACAATAAAAATAAATTGAAACATAAAATTTCATTTTTCCAACTTTGACATAGAATTATGTAAAAATATAAATACGATAAGTATACAATTATGCTCTTTTCAATCTTTATGATTTTGGCTTTAATATGGTTATTAATTTATTTGCATGATGATTGCAATTGTTGATTAATAAACGAAAATGTAAAGAAAATTAAAATATAGTTAAAATATATTCGACAGTAAATTATGTAAACATTACAAATACCATAAAAATGCAATTAAATTAAATTTATTTTCTGCAGTTTCGTCTTTAATTTGTATATTCATTTGTCTTTATAACGCGTGTAGTTACAGAGTAATATGTAAAAATGTGAATACTAAGAAAATAATTTTACTATATTAATAATAAATTACGTAAAAATTACATATGCTATAAAACTACATTTATACTCATATTATTTACTATATTTAGCTTCAATTTACATAAACACTTGTCTATGATTGGCGAGAAACAATACAAAATTTATCTTTTATTAATTTCTTGTTTTTTCATGATATTTCAAATTATGGAAAATATGTGAAAATTTTGACAGTCAATTACATAAAAACTACAAATACCACAAATATTCATTTTATACTCATTCATTCATTCATGACAGTTTTAGCTTCCATTACCATATTCATTTGTCTTCGTACTACTAGTGGTTATCAAGAAACAAGTAAAAATGTAAAGACACTGCTGATGTTTTAAAGTTTGAGTATAACCTACGATAATATAGATATGAATAAAGGACTACTATGAATGAATGTGCGATGAAATGTTTTATAAAAAAAATGGGCAAAGCAATAGAAAATGATTGATGGAATGAACGAAAATATTATTATCTGTGGTCAAGCCAAGCGAAATTATTTATTGGACGTTTACAGATTATGTCGTTACCGTGACGATTATAATAAATCTCCTGACACCTATGCCAACCATAAAAGAGGCTTTCAACGTAGTTTCCATAGCAATTCTAATAAAGTTTATTG